CGCGTCCTGGGCAGGAAGGCGCGCCTGGCAGCTGGGTGCCCTCTGGGTGCCAGGTTTGCCAGCCTGCTGGCCTTTGGCTCTTTAGTCCAACCTTTTGAGAAGCCCTTCTGGGTGCCAGGTCCTCTTTCGGGCGCTGGGCCACAGGGGACCACCTCTTAGCCCCCGCGGGGTACATATGCGGGGCGCAGAGATGGGGCTGGGGGTGGGGAAAGGACATACCCACAGGCAGAAGGTCGCCGCGGACGACATCGGGAAGGGCTCGCTCCTTGCTCGAGGAGGACAGTCCAGCCACAGTTAGGAAAAACTCGGGCAGTATCCAAAGGTTGGGAGGAGGGACCCCGCACTCATGAATTCACTCACTCATTAAAATATTGATTGTGCGCATCTTATGTGCCAGGCGCTGTGCCGGGCATTGTGGATGCAAACAAAGCATGCTGTGGTGAAGACAGAGATATCGAGCAGTTAAAATCACACTGGAATGATCAGAGCCAGAGAGAAAACAAGATCAGAGCAATGGGGGGTCTTTGGGGAGCTCAGGGAGAAGCCGGGGCCTGTCAGCTCCATCTGAGGGACTAGGGAGAATCAGCACAGGAAGAGCGAGGGAGTGTTCCCTGCACAGGGAGTAACAGGCATTCCTCATTCATTCATTCATTCATTCATTCATTCATTCATTCATTCACCACCACCCACCACCCCCTCATCCCACCCCTGGTCCTTTCTGAGCACTTCTCCTGTCTGTGCAGGAGCCCAGGCCACACTGGGCAGGGAGGGAGGCCTGCTAGTTCCTGCCCTCACTGGGCTCCGCGTTGCAGATCTGGACACAGGCGACCCAATTCCAACCAGCTTGTTTGCTTGCGGCTCCACTTCCCATGCTCTTGTGTCCCTTAAGACCTCCTGAAATATGTCATTACCCCCACTTCACAGATAGGCAGTAGGGCTCAGAGAGTGGAAAAGAGGTGCCGGAGATTCCCCAGCTGGTAAGGGGAAAGGCTGGCCTGGAGCTGTGTGAATGAAAGGGGGGTGTCCGGGAGACACCCCCAACCCCCATTCAGCTCAGTTTGTCCTGTGTCTTCTGCCAGGAGTGCCTGAGTCAGCCCAGAAGGTTCTCATTCTTCAAGATCAGCTCAAAGCCTCCACCCCCAGGAAACCTTCTATATTCCCCACCGCGTCCTGACTCATCATATATGTCTGAACATAAGGTTGCCTTGTATTTGTGTTACTAACTTGTATTGAGGGTGTTCTCTCAGCTCCTTACTTTTTAAACACAAAGTCCCGGTGGGGAAAGGCACCCGAGTTCCGTCTGCCCTCCACCCGTGTGAGTTTGGGAGGCACACGGAAGCCAGAGTTATGTAAAAGGAGTCGAGGAACTTCCACTCATAGAAAGCAGTGCCGTGCAAATGGGATTTTGTGACTGCAAGGGATGGAGGTTGTTGTAAAGGGGCCTTTTAGAGGTCACCTTCAGAGCACCTCAGTAAGTGGCATGTTGTGCAGATCACAAACACACACCTGCAACAAATGAAGCCCCCACTGTCCTAATGTTACACGATGGCACCTGCAGAGGGGACACAGTGTCCAGTGGTCACCTGACACGTGGATCCAAAAGGGCTGTGTTTTAGCATCTTGTGGTCCCTGTGAACATGACATACTCTGGAAAACTGAACAAGTGCCCCCCCCCAACACACACACCACCAGCTGATGGTGACCCTGGTGTCAAAGTCACATGTAAAGAATTTGAACCAAATAATTTCTTGAAATTTGAGACTGGACAAGCACAGTCTTTCTAAATTAATAATTTTCTGTAAAGATTTAAAATATGTATGTCTCAGTAAAGAAATAAATTAGGTATTGCAAGTAGATGTCTATTTCACCTCCACCCCTAAAAGTTTACATTGTTCACCCTTATTGAGCACCTTCTCATTGGGAGAATGGGGACGGCCCTTAACCTTTGGTGGGATTGCCTAATACTTGGACATACACACAAGCTGCTTTCCCCCTGAGGTCCCACCACACTTTGCCTTTTCCCCCATTGCAACCTCAGGGCAGTTGCTGTAGCTATTACCCCCTGTGCTCTCCACTGGCACGTGGGAAGCCTCCTAAGGGCAGGACCCAGGCCGGAATCCCTGGTGCCCAGAACAGGACTGGCATACACAGTTGCTCAGCACATATCTGAATAAACTGACTGAGAGATGAGTTGCTCTGAACTGGGAGAAGAAAGGAAAGGAGGAGGGAGGAAGGGAGAGAGGGAAGAACAAGGGGTAAGAAAGAGTTGTAAAGGAATGAGTTTTGGTCAATAGTAGCCCAGGACTCTGGTATGATCAATAGTGATATGTGCTGGGAGAAACAAACAAAGCAACCAAACAGGGATGCATTACAAGGAGTATTGCCTCTAGAACAAAGGTGGCGCAGGTGGCGCAGTTGGCGCAGGTGGCTTAGGGAGAGAGGGAGATCCCTGTCCCAAGAGTATGCAAAAGGAAGCAGGGGATAGGGCTATATCAGGCCTGGGCAGCAGCCTCCAGTGATAACCTCTCCCGGCTTTGATTTCCACTCCCCACCCCCAAGTCCCCACCCTTAACCACATCCAGAATTACACAGACTATGCCACCCTTCCTTGGCACCAGGACTCATGCTTGCATTGCAGGGGCCCCTGGGTGGGGCTGACTCTTGATTGTGCAGTGTTGGCGCAGTCTCCCAGGGCAGTGGGTAGAGGGAGGGCCCTGGCAGGGCTCCCTGGCATTGCTCTCCCGGGGCATGCCGTGGCAGGCCTGCCCCATGCAATAGCAGGCAGTCAGGTGCACCTCGGAGAAAGTGCACACACTGAGCTGGAGGGTAGGACCACAGCTGACACCTGGGGGAAAAGACCCCTCCTCCAGGGCAGCCATATTCAACCTTTTTCATCTCATGGTACATAAACTAATTACTTGAATTCTGCAGCACACTAAAAAATATATTCTCTTTTTTGCTGATCTGACGAAAAAATAGGTATGATTTTGATTTATTCCCAGGGGACAGCTACTGTGGTGCTGGCTGTTGTCACTTTTTTATTGGACAACCTAAGGGAAAGAGGTCAGTGCCCCCGATTAAATAGCCAGATATTGCGTGTTGTAAAAATTCCTGCGGCTCACCGGTGCGCCTGCTCGGCACCCGGCTTGAAACTCGCTGCTCCGGGGAACCCAAAGGCGTTTGCTCGGACTCCTCCCTGTAACTGGAGACCCGAGAATCCAGGCTGCAGTCAAACCACAAAGCTCAGTCTTAAAATTGCTACAGGAGAGCTCTTCTTTTTAGCAAACCCTCGATTTCCAAACCCAGCCGGTCCTCACCCGCAAAAGCAATACTTTTCAGTCCCTGGTTGCAAAGTGCCGACCACGTCGGGGGTGGGCACCGGGCTGCGCCCTGTGAGTGATCTTCCTCCGAGGGGCAGTGCGGTGATTGACACAATTGCCCTTCTGTAGAGGAAGGGACCTCGGCGCAGAGACTGACAGGTTCACAGGAGAAGGGGGAACTCAGAAGGCCTCGGGTCTCTATACGCGAGTCCCATTAATGCCCCAATCCCAGGTGTAGAAAGATAAGTGCCCTCTTCTTTCCTTCTCCCACCTCCCCCCAACAGTTTCTGGCCCCCACTTGCTCTGCCATCATTGGTCCCTTAACTGGGTGAAATCTCAGCAGGCTCTTTAAACTGCATCCCACAACCACTGCTGGAGTATTTATTCTGCGCCAGGCCCAGGGGACAGCGGGATGAGCAGCCGCTCTTGTTGAGTCACTAACAAGCAGTGCCTGTCATACCCCAGCTGGTCCAAGAGAATCAGTCAGTCAAGGGGAGGTGGAAAGAGCTGGGGTCCTGAGCCAGCCAGCAGCGAGTGTCTGGGAGGGAGGCCCCTCCTCCCCCAGGCCCGAGAGCTCCTGGACGATCCAGGGAAGCCCAACACCTGGGAGTGCTTTCTAGATCAGGGACGTTTCCCTTCCTGGCCTCTTCTCATCT